GCAATGCAGAGATATTTGAAAAAGTCTCGTGATGTTGTGCCTGATGCTGGTGAAGAAAGGGAGGACCAAGAAAGGGTGCCGAGGGAATGAGAAAGTTCGGCAATAGACAAGGATTGCATCAAAAGATGGGTGAAGGAAGAAGTCTCAAACTGTCTGAAGGACTTGGTGCCTTTGATAGTTGAAAGAACGTTGAGTCAGGTCGTCCCCGAAGCCATTAATCGGGCTTTTGGGGAAGTTTTTAAGAGATTGGATGACTACATAATTGCACGATCAGATAACACAATGCAAGGAGATGGGGAGATAAACAAAAATATTGAAACGGAAAATAAACAAAAAATCTTTTAAATGTAAAGGTACTTGCAGAGGCATCAAGTATGCATGGATGTTGAACTGAACTTCACCACCCTCATCAGGCTCACGAGTAGCCACATCAAGATAATGGTACAGACGTTGAAATGAATACGCACCCCATGGAAATGTCCCAAACATCTCCAAATCCTCCACTAAGGCCCACAACCAAATTGGTACAGCGGCTCTAGAATGGGTGAAAAGATGAAGAAATGAGCAACCAATATCAGTGTAACCTTTAATGCATCGTCGGGCTCCTCCTTAAATTTACCGTTGTTGAAATCATTCAACAAATCGCCACCGACTAAACTACGTCCGTCATAGTGGCGGCGATATACCCCATCTCTCGGTGGTGGTATACTCTCATTCTCGTCCGGGATGAACGACGAGACCCCAAACTTCAACCCGGTAATTTGGCAAAACTCAATTTTACCAAATTTATAATATTTACCGCCTATTCTAAACCAACGGTCGTTCTCTAGAGCGGAATCTACAACTACCTCTCTACCAAGTAAAGCAATCAATAGCATTCCACTATAAAACGCTCTTGCATCGAAACTTAAAAACTGACCAAAACATGATTGTTTAAACTCACTAAGTTGGTCACAACCCTCTAGCTGCTTCGTTATGTGGCTAATTAATTTTGTCTTCGTATGACAATTTATTTTACCACGCCACTTGCGACCTGCCTGCCATCTCCAAGTCCAACTATCACCCTAAAATCATGAAGCAATTAATTAATATTTTTTTTAACAGTTCGTACTTATATAAAAACAAGATATTTAGACATAAAAAATTATAATATAAATACAAATCTGTCAAACTGGTTTCTTGGAGCAAGAAACAGGTTTCTTGAGCAAGAAACAAGAAACCTGTTTCTTCTTTGTTTAAAGAAGAAACAGGCTTCTTGAACATTTCTTGAACAGGTTTCTTGCTCAAGAAACCGGTTTCTATATCGTTTTATGTTCAACAAACAATTTCTTCAACATTGAACAACAAAACAGAATCTTTTTCACATACACTACAAAACTCTTTCTTGAGCAAAAAATCTAAAATTCTGAAACATAAACTGACCAGTTTCTTGAACAAAAAAATACTTTTTTTTCACATAAACTACAAAAATATTTGTTCACCAAAAAACATCATACCTCATCAGTAGATGTCATTTCTGCCATGTTCCAACAAAAGCACCACAAAGAGCTAAGGGATTTGTTTGAAGATCCGTTTTCAAATTAAGAAAATGAAGAAATGCCTCAATTTACATTTTTACAAAAAATGAGAATTGAAGAAAAATATCCTAAAAAGGGTACATTTAAGAATGCACACTACAAAAACAACAATTACCGAATCGAAGCACATAGACACACATACACCTTCGTGAATAGGCTTTCCACAATTTAACCATACACATTTCAATCGAAAAAAAAATAATTGAACTCAAAATACACATTTTTACTAAAAACCCTAAAAATCGCCTAAAAATAAAATAAAAAAAAAAATCATTCTCGGCCGTGAGCCTCTTTGCGGGCGTAGGACGAGAGCAATCGATGGACGAGGACAAGCAAAAAAAAAAAAAAAAAAAAATCGATGAGAGGAGAGCACTCAACGGATTCAATAGTCGATTTCGAGCACTCGATGCACTCTCTGAAATGTTTTTCAAGTTTTGGTGGAAGGGGGCTTCAATAGTCGATTTCGCCGTATGAAAGAGGAAGCTTGAATTGTGAGAAGGGGGGAAAAATGAAAAATGAAAAATTAAAGTGAAAGGAGGCGCGTGAACGGTGAAGTGAAGAAGGGAAAAGTGTGAAAAAGGAAAAAATTCAGCAAAATAAATCTAAGGGCAATGAGATATTTTCACTCACCAAAATGGCTATATTTCATCTTTCTTAGAAAGATGGCTATATTTCATTTTAGCTTTAACTAAAGTGCTATAAAGCACCAATACCACTTATAATAAAGTTGAATATCTCTTGTTATTTTTCTTTATAATAAGCTCTAAATACTATATAAATATGGTGTAAAATCACACATAAATAACTCCTTGTATTTGCTCCGTATATGGAGTCGTTGCTGATATAAGTCCTTCAAGTGATCACTTTAAGTCACCTCCTTTTTTTGGCATATCGTTCCCACTCTCTGATCTCTATCTTCAACTCCTTTAGTTGCTCCATGTCACACAACAAATACTTCTTTTAGGCGTTCAGCCCTCACGCCAAATGAAATATATATAATTACATATACATAAAAGTTGACCAAGGGCGGATCTAAAAATTTATTTTGAAAAGGACTATATATTTTTTATTAATCATTGATTTAATTTAATGTACATAAAAAAATAGAAAGTTGTATTATAAATTTTATATAATTATAATGCAATATAATTATAAAGTTTCAAACTTTATAATAACAAATAGATTGACTGTTCTCTCAACTGATGACTCAATAATAATAGATAATAGTTTTGATATTTTTTCTTTCCATTAAACATATTATATATGGTCTTTTTTTTAAAAAATTACCAATTTTATGTTTTAGCATATTTACAGTACATTCAATTTATAAAAATTAGAAAAATGGTATGCAAAAGTATAAAAATAGAAAAATTGTAGTTGAATTATTTGTAGAAAAAGAAATACAATTATTATTTTAATATAGTTGTGGGAGTTTATGTGAAAAATGATGTACTAATCATATATATATATATAGAGAGATTGGTTCCAATGCATCCACTTATTTAAAGTGAGGACGTGAGACTCATTTTTAGCCACAAGATTTGGTACATCATGTGTGGCCAAGATTTACTCTTTTCTATTTATTATTTTAATTATTTAAATATTATTTTGACTCGTTGACTCCCGCGTTGACCGTTGACTTCCGGCGTTGATCGTTGACTTCCGGCATTGACTTTCGGCGAAATCCGTTGACTTCTGGCGTTGACCGTTGACAACTATCTTCCAACTAGATTAGTTCTCTGTAGTTGCTATGTTAGTTCTATGTAGTTGCTAGGCTAGTTCTCTGTAGTTGCTGGGTTAGTTGTCTGTAGTTGCTAGGTTAGTTGTCTGAAGTTGCTAGGTTAGTTCTATGTAGTTGCTAGGTTACTAGGTTAGTTCTCTGTAGTTGCTAGGTTAGTTCTATGTAGTTGCTAAGTTAGTTCTTTGTAGTTGCTAAGTTAGTAGTTGCTAGGTTAGTTTTCTGTAGTTGCTAGGTTAGTAGTAACTTGGTTAGTTCCCTGTAGTTGCTAGGTTAGTTCTATGTAGTTGCTAGGTTAGTTCTATGTAGTTGCTAGGTTAGTTGTCTGTAGTTGCTAAGAGTTGTCCGCATTTTAAGAGCTGGGCGCATTTTAAGAGCTGACCGCATTTGATCCGTTCCCCCTATATATATATATACCCTAAATATTACAAATTTTGGAGGGGACACTGGCCCCTCTACAATACACTAGAGTTGATCATCAAATTATGCTAGATGATACTTTGAAAAGATTCTATTATTTTAGATAAATATTAATATGATCAGCTAAACAAATTTAACCTCAAATTAATTTATTGAGAATCATCAATATTAATGTACTTAGAAATCTAAGATTTTCATGAATTAAACTCGATTATCCATTAAAAATTCTTTTCACATAGATTTGAAATATTATGTTAATAATATAAAAGCAGGTATATACAATAATTCAAAAGTATCAAATAAATAAAATTAAAAGGAGAAACTAATGGTTGTATGTAAAAATATTATATTAATATTTTATGAAATATTGTGAAAACATGATATTTTAAACTTTAAAATAATATAAATATACTTTTAATTGAATATTAAGTTATTATAAACAATGATAAAGTAAAATAAATAAATAAAATTATTATTTTAGCTTATATATTTATATCGCGAACTCATGCATTGCACTAGTACGAAAGCTAGGTTGTAGAATAGAAAGAAAATTTTGGTGGCATTTTTATTATTTTAAAAATAGCAGTTATATTTTATTTGAATTAATCTATCAAAGAATTTTGTATTGGAATTATCCGTCTCATTGATTTAATAGACAAAATTTCAAAAATTGTCCACTATGTTGGTCATTTACAAAAAAAATGTCAATCATATAGGGCGTCATAAAGAATGGTCCACTAAGTTGCCATTTTTATCAAAACTCGTACAATAGTTAACATAGTACACTATGCTGGTTTTTGTTCGAATTTTAAGTAAAAGGACAACTTAGTGGACAATTTTTTATGACGCCCTATACGATGGACATTTTTTGAAAAATGACCAACATAGTCAGTAATGCTAAGGAGTCAACTGTTGGCTCCGTTATGAATGTGGGGCAGCCCCACATGGAGCTGTCCTATTGGCTGTTGGCTCCTTAGCATTATTGCCAACATAGTATAGTAAAAATGAAATTTAGCCTAATTTAATATATCTCGTTCTACTACATGAAAAAATTAAATTCATTTTGTATCTTATACATTGCTAGGTATTTAGCCTCTCTATGCGAGTATCGAAAAATCATTTGTCGAGAAGTTTCCGAACAATAGATTCGTGCATTACAACCTCAAAGAAGCGACGGTTTTCAGGCTAAACCCTATGAGGATGTGCCTTAGAACAACATACGTTGCGTTCACCACATGATTTGCCATTCTTTTTCCTTATTTCGATCAAGTAGTGGGAGTAGCTGAGGCCATCAATTTTTGGCCCATTGTGGTATATTTCCCAGTCGAGATGTACCTGGTGCAGAAAAACATCTGACCTTGGACCCCAAAATCGATTCTTTTTAGGGTATATTGGTTTGTAACTCTAATTGTCATTCTTTTTGCATTTGTTGGATCTATTAAAGGTCTAATTGCTGCGCGATTTAGCTAAGATGTGATATTGTGGCCATGTTTATTGGTGGTAAATAAAGTTATGAAAATAGAGGATAAATTTGGTGATTGTTGAATTTAGAGCATAAATGGGGAAAAGTTTTCCATTTTCAATTCTCAAGTAAATTGTACGCATGCACGACGACGAAGAAGAAAACTACATACAAACTTACCCTGAAAGATGTTGTTGGGAAAAATACGCTGAAATTTCCATGAAGTTGGATCTATAAAAGTGAAATAAAAAATAAAAATTGGACACACCAATTTGATAACGGAGTTCGACCAATAATGCCTACGTCTCCGGACTACTGTAGATATTTTATTAAGAAGAAAAATTACACTCGTTTTTGCAAAACATTCTCAAACTCACTCACAACTCACAATTCAAATACACACATAAGATAAATATTTTGCTTCTTTTCACTCTCTTTTTTTTCTCTCTCTCTCTTTCTTTCTGTGTTTCTGTATTTGTTGTGGTGTATCCATTCATCAAATTGCCCAGCTATTTATAGAGGGAAATTCAATGTGAACATTGCACTCAGATTCTTTAATTGCGTGCTTCTAGGCTGCTTCCTTTCCCATTTTTTTCTTCTTTTGCCTGCTGTCAAATGAAATGGCGCAGCCCTTTTGACTCAACAATCTCCCACTTGAGGACTGATTTTAATCTGTCCTCACACCTCAATTACTGCAGTAGTCTTCTCTGGTCCATTATTCTAGCAGGCCAACTGAAGTTGAGCACAACTTCAGTTTATCAATGGTCACCACCTTCGTTAGCATATCTGCCGGGTTCTTGCTTCCTACAATCTTCTTCAAAGTCAACACTTCATCCTCAAGAAGAGATCTGATGAAATGATATCGTATGTCAATGTGCTTAGTTCTGGAGTGAAACACCGAGTTCTTTGCCAGATGTATTGCACTCTGACTGTCACTGTGCAAGACACTTTCTTTTTGAGTGAAACCCAACTTGCTAACAATCCTTGAAGCCATATCAATTCTTTACTGGCTTCTGTCACTGCCACATACTCAGCCTCTGTAGTGGATAGAGCAACAATCTTTTGTATCCGCGACATCCAACTAATAGCTGTAGCCCCGACAGTGAAAACATAACCGGTGGTACTTCTTCGGTGATCAACTTCACCTCCAAAGTCTACATCTACGAGCCCTGTAACTTTAGATCTCCTTTTCTAAAATACAGACATTTTTCTGTTGTGCCCCGTAGATATCTCAAAATCCATTTGACTGCTTCCCAATGAGCTTTTCCTGGATTTGACATAAACCTGCTAACTCCCACTGCATGGCCAATGTCTGGCCTCGTACAGACCATCGCGTACATCAAACTTCCAATGGCTGAAGCATAAGGAATCTTAGCCATAAACTCTTCTTCTTCTTTTGTTTGAGGAGACTGATCCTTAGATACACGAAAATGGCTGGCCAAAGGTGTACTAACTGGTTTAGCCTTATCCATGTTAAATCTCTGCAAGACACGGTTGATGTACTCTGCTTGAGATAACTACAAAACTCCCTTTTGCGTATCTCTCGTGATTTGCATTCTAAGAATCTTCTTTGCTGGGCCTAAGTTCTTCATGTCAAATTCTTTTGACAACTGCATCTTCAATTTTTTGATGTCTTTCATATCTGATCCTGCTACTAACATGTCATCGACATAAAGTAGCAAGATGGTATAGCTGGACTCATACTTTTTAAAGAAACAACAGTGATCAGCATTGCACTTCTGGAAACCTTCCTTGTGCATGAAGCTTTTAAACATCCTATACCACTGTCTTGGAGCTTGTTTCAGGCCGTACAAGCTCTTCTTCAATTTGCACACCATATCCTTCTTTCCTTCTGAAAAACCTTCAAGCTGGTGCATATAGATCTCCTCATCCAGGTCTCCGTGAAGAAATGCAGTCTTCACGTCTAATTGCTCTAGGTAAAGCTCTTCACTAGCCACAATACTTAACACAGTCCTGATAGTATTGAGCTTTATAGTCAAATCCTTCTTTCTGCTGAAATCCTTTGACAACCAGTCGGGCTTTGTATCTCCTAGAACCATCATGGTCTTCCTTCACTCGATACACCCATTTGTTGTGAAGTGCTTTCTTTCCCATAGGTAACTTGACTAGTTCCCATGTCTGATTTGAGATCAAGGACTTCATCTCGTCCTTCAGGGCAAGCTCCCACTTGTTAGCATCTGTGGTTTGACAAGCTTCCATGTAATTTTCAGGCTCCCCTCCATCAGTCAGCAGCATGTAGTTCATGTATCTCCTGTTAGGTACATGGGGCCAAGAGGACCTTCTCAATACAGGAGCTGGAGTAGGAGGTTCTGATTGCACATCACTTTCTTCATTTGATTCCTCTGACTGAGGACTCCTCATTATAGGACTGTCTGGGATATCTTCCACCTCAACATAAACTGGCCCACTCGCTTCTGAGTTGCTGGCACTTGTGTTATGCCAGTTCTTATACATTACTCTTTCATTAAAGATGACATCTCTGCTGCGGATCATCTTATTATTTTCATCATCCCATATGCGGTAGCCAAACTCATCTTCACCATAACCAAGGAAGGTACACTTCTTTGATTTTGGATCAAGTTTGTTTCTGCCTTGATCACTGATGTGCACATATGCTTCACACCCGAAAACTCTAAGATGTGAGAGTTTTACTTCTTTTCCGCTCCATACCTCTTCTGGTAACTTGTGATCCAATGGTACCGATGGATTTCGGTTGATCAAGTAAGTTGCTGTGTTGACTGCTTCTGCCCAGAACTGCTTTGGTAGGCCTGACTGCACACGCAAGCTTCTGGCTCTTTCAGTCAACGTTCGATTCATACGCTCAACTACATCATTGTGTTGAGGCGTACCAGGCACGGTTCTCTCCATTCTGATCCCGTGCACATAGCAAAACTTCTTGAATCTGGTGGTTACATATTCACCACCGTTGTCGGATCTGAGCTTCTTGATCTTCAAGCCTGTCTCATTTTCCACCACAGCTTTCCAAATCTTGAAAGCCTCAAATACTTCTGACTTGTGTTTCAGAAAGAAAACCCAAACCTTTCTGGAGTGATCATCGATAAAAGTCACAAAGTATTGCTTCCCACCAACGGATGGGACAGTCGTTGGACCCCAAACATCAGAGTGGATGAGCTCAAGCTTCTCATTCTTTGGAGTTCTTCTACTTGTTTGAAAGCTGACTTTCTTCTGCTTTCCAAGTATACAACATTAACACATATCAATTTCTATTGACTGGAGGCTTGGTAATTTTCCTTTTGAGTGAATGATCTTCATCCCTTTTTCACTCATATGCCCAAGTCTTTGGTGCCATAGATTGGGATTTTCATTTGCTGCAACTGCAATCAGATGACATGCTCATGTTCTTTTTAAAGAGTACCACTCTTTTTGCCTCGAGCAATTGTCATCGCACCCTTTGAAATTTTTCAATCATCACCATGGAAGATTGTCGTGTAGCCTTCACTGGCTAGCTGGCCCACAAAGATTAAATTTTTCGTCAGGTCGGGAATATGTCTAACATTTTTCAATTCCCATACAGACCCGCTCAGCTTGATTTTTATTGCACCTTTCCCTACAACCTCACATGATTGCTCATTACCAAGGTTACCAGGAACATAATTTTCGAGTACTTCCTTCTGTGAGGTAGCATGAAAGGATGCTCCAGAGTCTAACACCCAAGACTCTTCTCTGTTCTCCAAAGAACATACCAGCATATCTCCTCCTAAGGATGAAGCAATATTTGCCTCTTCTTTTGCCTCTTGATTCTTCGGTGCACTCTTGCACTGGTTTCTGTAGTGCCCGGTCTTCCCACAATTCCAGCACTCGATCGACTTCGAGTTTTGGGAACTACGATGATTTCTGGATTTGGATCTTCTTCCCTTTGATTTGTTGTGTCTGCTTTCTTTGGTTGAACTTCTTCCTCTTGACTCTGTATGCAATACAGAAGAGGTCGATGGTTCACCCGACTCTCTCCGCCGGATCTCTTCACTGAGAACCAAATTTTGAACATCATAAAGTCTCAATCTATTGCTTCCCGATGAGCTACTCACAGTCGTGACCGTAGCATTCCAACTTTCTGGTAGGGAAGACAAAAGTATTAAAGCCCGTACTTCATCATCGAACTCGATCTCAACTGAACTCAACTGGGTTGTGATGGTGTTGAGCTCATTGAGATGATGTGCCACCGAAGCACCTTCGGTCATCCGCAGGTTGAACAATCGCCTCATCAAATGAACTTTGTTTGAGGTTGATGGTTTCTCGTACATGTTGGAAAGAGCCTTCATGAGGCCTGCCGTCGTCTTTTCTTTTGCAATGTTAAAAGCAACATTACGGGACAACGTCAGTCGAATGGCTCCAAGGGCTTGTCTGTCAAGGAGACTCCATTCTTTCTCCTTCATGTCCTTTGGTTTCTTTCCCGTGAGTGGTTGATACATATTCTTTTGGTACAGCTAATCCTCGATCTGCATTTTCCAAAAGCCAAAGTCCGCACCATCGAACTTTTCAATTTTCATTTTTCCTTCGTCTGCAACCATCACTTCGACTCTGATCTGACTTCTCTGTCGGATCGTTTCTGCAATTTTTGTGAACTACCGTGTTTTAAAACACGTCGGTAGATAAATTGTAGCGCCGACAAAATTGGTACTATTCACGTTTTTCAACGGAATAGTAACACCACACAAAAAAATACAGAATTAACAATCTGGCTCTGATACCAGTTGTTAAGAAAAATACGCTGAAATTTCCATGAAGTCGGATCTAAAAGTGAAATAAAAAATAAAAATTAGACACACCAATTTGATAACGGTGTTCGGCCAATAATGCCTACGTCTCCGGACTACTGCAGATATTTTATTAGAAAGAAAAATTACACTCGTGTTTACAAAACACTCTCAAACTCACTCACAACTCACAATTCAAATACACACAGAAGCTAAATATTTTGCTTCTTTTAACTCTCTTTTTTTTTCTCTTTCTTTCTGTGTTTCTGTATTTGTTGTGGTGTTTCCATTCATCAAATTGCCCAACTATTTATAGAGGGAAATTCAATGTGAACATTGCACTCAGATTCTTCAATTGCGTGCTTCTAGGCTGCTTCCTTTCCCATTTTTTTCTTCTTTTGCCTGCTGTCAAATGAAATGGGCGCAACCCTTTTGACTCAACAGTTGTCTCGACTAATATGTATTACTATGCTAAAACTTCGTTGTCTAACTAAAAATAAAAACTGATGTAGAACGTGAATAAGAACGGGAAAGATACGAGATACTCTCTCGTGAAGAATTCACAATATCAGAAAAACTCAAATTCATTCACCGTCTGATACTGAAGAGAATACAAATATAAATAATCTTAGACACCCCACAAACCTAACTTGCTAAATAAGATAAAACCACATAATTATTTTCCTAACTCTAAATAACATAAATATGGAAACCTAATTATAATAAGAAAATAGGTAATAAAATAATTAATTAAGCAACGGCATCCGATCATATTAATCAAGGAACGCGAGGGCGATCTCGTCTCCATCATCCTCCCCCGGTTGAGAAGGATTCACCCTCAAATCCAAATCGATCTTGTCTCCGTCTGAGCCGTCATCGCCCACGTCGAAGACCACAGAACGAGTGTCCACTGCTCCAACCAAGTCCCCACGCGGCCCATCCCGAGAAAGAAACAATGTCGGCGACGTCTATTGCAAAGGAACCGACCGGGGAGCCGAGGGATGTAAGACAACGCGGTTGCCCTCAAACAGAAATCCATACGTGTTAAGGCGCCCATCATGAACCACGACACGATCAAACTGCCACGGGAGTCCTAATAAAAGGTGACAATCATCCATAGGCACGACATCGCACTACACCTCATCCATATATGCAAAGCCAATAGAAAAAGACACCAACACGCCTGTTAATAGGGACAACGTCGTCACACCATATCCACGCGAGAGCATAAGGATCCGGATGCGGCGCCGACGATAATCCAAGCTTCGCCACAGCCTCGTCAGATATCACGTTCTCGCATGACCCGGAATCAATAACAAAACGACACACCCGACCGCCCACGGTGCACGTAGATTCGAAAAGTTGTCGACGCAGGCCCTCATCAGTGGAAATGACAGGTGGGGACAAAAAAGAGCGACGAAGGACAAGAGCGTGTCCCACGTCTCCCGAGACATGCACCTTTGGAACCTCGGGCTCTTTGTCAAAAATAGGAGGGTCATCATATGCTGCAGCTGCCGAATATTCTGTTGTCTCCTCGGCGAACAAAGCACGCGACCCGGTCCCTTTTGGACAAGCCGCCTGTTGATGCCCAAGCTCACCGCACCCAAATCATCGAAACCCGCCACCAGCCCGCTGCATACTCGCGGTTGGCGTCGTCCTTAAGTCGCCGGTCGACCGCGGCAGCCCACCGCTGGCCGTCGATCCGCGCCCCATTGTCAGCCCTGAGCCCGAGTGCATTCCCGAAGCAGGTATCCCACGCCCGGAATGCAAACCCGCACCTGCAACACCACTGGTCAGGCCCGCCTTTCGAGCTAACTGGTTCTCCACAATGAGGGCCGTTGATGTGCATCCGAAATCGACTCCAGAACAACAAGACTAAGCATATCTTGTATAGCAATATTCAAACCCCCCACATAGCGAGCAACCAACTGGCCCTTCGACAAGACGATAAAAGTCCTCCGTATAATAAGAAACAGAACGCGGGACTTGCCGCAAATTATGCAACTATTGATAAACCACATGATCATAATTAAAATGGAGAAATTCACGTTCCACGTACTTACGGAACTGCATCCAAGTGGAGATCTCTGGCTTTCCCTGGCGATGCCGCAAACTCGTGAGTTGCATCCACCATGTCGCCGCCCGTCCACGGAATCGCGTGGCGACAAGAGCTACACGCCGTTCGTCAAGGACCTCCTTAAACTTGAGGGCGGACTTAACGATGGTCCACCAATCGAGGAACTCCACTGCATCCGCTCCGCCCGAAAACTCGGGAATCTCAACCCGAAACCCGAGATCCTCGCGCAACTCACTACCGCCGTCCACCTTGCGCACATCACGTCGTTGCGGTTCGCGGCCTTAACCAACGCCGTGGTCGAACCATCCGCGGAGGTGCTGATCGGCCTGTGCAAATTCTGGCCATTCTCGCTGCTGCAGCCCGTCGCGGCGTCGCTGTCCGTAGGGACCGAAGCCCGGCCCGTCGCGCCGTCGTTGATCACCGTCCGCCCACCACCAGTCATCTTCCTCGCGAAACCCTAAGTGGCGGCGACGGAAATCACCTCTGCCCATCGGCTCGTCATCATCCTCAAAGAAATGACCCCCTCGCTGGTACCCCTGAAGACGACGGCCAGGATCACCTCCACCGAAGCCTCAAAAGTCGCGACCTCTGACACGCTCCCCCTACGCAAATCTCACATCATCATTGGGCCTGCGGCGCTGCTCCTGAGCGAAAGGGTTGTCGACGCTGATGGTGTCTTCAACGCCCTCCTCGCCGGTCAGAGTCGCAGGTGAACGTTGACGGGGCGCCCCGCCATGACCACGTCCACCACGGCCTCCTCGAAACCCTCCACAAGTGCCAGGTTGCCGGCGTCGCGGTTCGTACGCACATCCTCCATCATGGTCCTCATAGCCAGTCGAATTTCCTCGACCCCCGCAGACAAGTCCGTGAAACGCTCGTCCATCCCTTCAAATCGATCGTCCATCCTCTGAAATCGATCTTCAATGATGTTGTCGTTCACGTTGTTGGCTTTCTTTGGCGGCATCGCAGATCGTGGCTGGTCTCTGGATACCAACTGATGTAGAGCGTGAATAAGAACGGGAAAGATACGAGATACTCTTTCGTGAAGAACTCACAATATCAGAAAAACTCAAATTCATTCACCATTTGATACTGAAGAGAATACAGATATATATAATCTTAGACTCCCCACAAACCTAACTTGCTAAATAAGATAAAACCACATAATTATTTTCCTACCTCTAAATAACATAAATATGGAAATCTAATTATAATAAGGAAATAGGTAATAAAATAATTAATTAAGCAACGACATCGGATCATATTTATCGAGGAACGCGAGGGCGATCTCGTCTCCATCAGCAACCAACATAAGACTTTACGCGACTATAAAAGAAAAGCACGACTATTTCATGTGAGGAAATAACAGAAAAAAACAACATAACTACAAATGATCAAACACACGCATAGCTACTCCAAGAGTCCGCCTTGGACTGCAAGAGTCAAGACTGCTTCCCCTGGGAGAACACAAACCTTGATTTCTATTTGTCCCTCATAAAGTAACAATCAATTTTAAGATGCTTATACGATCGTGAAAAACATGGTTAGCTGAGATATGTCTGCATTATTGTCAAGACGAGGAATGGGGAAGCGCACAAGAACATGGAAGACCTCGAGAATGTAGGTCATCCATAGTAGTTCAAAAACAGTAGAACTCATAGCATCGTATCTGCCTCTGGTAAGGACATAGAAAAAAATTGTTGCTTCTTAGTTTTCCAGGAAACAAGAGATCCACCTAAGAAGACGCAATAACCAGTAAGAGATCATCTACTGTCCTTCCATGTCGACTTCATTTAACAGATTAATCCAGATCCGCATTTTTGTAATATGTATATCAAATTATTATCAAATAGTCGTTAAAGCCATTGAATGGTAGCAGTATGTCCCATATTTTTTTTTTTTAACTTAAATGCATTGGCCACATTCTTATTGACATGTGTCAATCTATTTAAACGGTTAATAAATGATAGCAATGCAGGTGCCCTTAGTAAAATAAAACAAACGTAAAATACTAGGTTAGAAAACATCTTATCTATTTTCCAGAACTCGTGAATCCCAATAATAAAGTGGTAAATACTAAATACAACTTGAATTAAAACACATATGACAAATATAAAGAGAAGAAAAGAAAAGGGCAGGCTACGTACACACACGCACACTGGCACACATATGAAAGAATTACTGACCGGTCCCTCTTGCGGGAAACCTTTGCAATGCATAACAAAAAAAAAAAAC